ATCAATATCTCCAATCTTCTTGTCTCTTTGTTTATCTTCTTCAATTTTTTGGAATCTCTCATCATACTTCAACATTATTTGTTGGATGTTCTCCACTTTTTCATCGGTTTTCCTTGTTCAATGTTCTTTATTCTCTTTTCAATATTCTCTGATCTTGCTTGAATATTTTGAATTCCTTGCATAATCATCTGCAAAGTCACTTTTTCTTGTTCTTTTTCTTGCCTTAACATTGTCTGTATTGAACGTTGTCCTCCAGATGGTGGAGAGGAAGAAGTAGAAGTTGAAGAGCCAGGAGCTGTTAATTTCCTACTCATTTTAAGCAATTCAAAATCTTCAGGTTCTTCTAGACCTTAATCCAATTGTGAAATAACCAATTGTAGGTCCAGATAAAAATATTTTTTTAAAAAAGCCAAATAGTAATGATAATAAAAAAGGAGGACAAAATTTCTTCAGGTTCTTGTATACCTTAATCCAGTCGGTGGTTAGGTGAAGAAAAAGGAAAAAAAGGAAAAATTCTTCAGGTTCTTCAACACCTTAATTCAATTGAGAGGTCTCAAATAAAAAAGAATGCATAAAAATAAACCAGAAAAGTAGCTGAAAAAACAAAAATACCAGGAAAGGAGAAAAAAAAAGCTATTCCCTTAAAAAAAAGAGAAAACATTAGTACTAAAGCTTTCCCTTTAAAATAAAAAGCAAGCTTAGAGATTTGACTTCCAAAAACAAAACAAAAAAAGAACAAAGACAAGCTCCAAAAAAGCCAAAGATTCAAATAGCTATTACAAAAAAAAAATAAATAAATAAAGCTGGTGAGGATGGATAGCACAATTTAGAAAAAATAAAAAGAGCACACTGCACTTTCTTTAATTGTCCAAGGCTCTTATTATAACTCTCTTCTCCAAAAACTTATCACCTTTTTTCCCCCTAAGCTTCAACACCAAACTTCAGCTGTTGATAGGAACCCAGAAGAGCACCTGCAATAATGCTCTGTCATGCTCTTCCCTCTATCTTATCAAACAGGCAATGTCCTTGAAAGTCTCAATTCTTTCTCAGCTTTGTCTGGTCAAAGGAAAAGTAGAGTATTTCCAAGCCTCTACTTGGCAGTGTTACAAAGTTTCTTTAGCTTTCACTTTCCCCTTTCTTTTCCGGCAAATTATAATAAGAATTAATTTAAAAAAGGAAAAAGATATTTTTTTTAAAAAAAAAAAGGTTAAAAGGGAGTCTCTGGCTTAATATATTATAAAATCAAAAGGGGGGGGGGAGTAAAAAAGGAAAAAACCAGTCCAGTTTCAAAATATAAGATCATCAGCAATAAGAAAAAAAATATAAATATTACTTTGACATTTCTGTTTAAAATCGCCGCTTATTTACTTCTATCAAAAAAACTTTTACAGATTCTTTCTTTCTTTCCCTTAGGGTGTCCTCTCAAATCTTAAAATAAAGAAAAGTTCTCACCAAACCGGCACACTTTCTCTTTTCGTTCTCTTTTGTTTTGGAGCTGTCCCAACTTCAGCAGCTTTAATGGCTGCCTCTTTGCCGCTGGCAAAAAGAGCTTCTCCTGGTTCTACCAGGGACTTTGCGATATCCCTGGGATCGACAGGATGCACTCTTTACATTCACTGTTTCTTCGGGACAGTTTAGATCCACTTGGAACGTCCAGGAGCAAAGATATCGGCTGCGATCTCAGATCTCCAAGATCGCATGCCGTATCATCACGACGCCAGCTCCGCCCTCTCTTCCAGCTGTACTTCTGTCATAGTCGGAGTGAAGTCCGCAATAATTTGCGGCTTCACTCCGAGCTCTCCTTGTGGGAGGGACCTAACTGGGACCGGAACCATCCTGGAGGGGTGGTGAAGAAAGTGGGATTGCCTGACAGGTTGAGGAGAGCCGCCTCTTTCCTCCCCGGCAAGAAAACCTCCGAAGATGAGCTGTAGCAGTAGCCAAAATGACTCCCATGAAGATGGGAGGCAGTCTGAAAACCCAAGACTTTGCTGGAGCGAAGAAGCAGTGAATGGTGTGTGGACTGGGTGAAAATACTTCAAACTATAAAAGGTTACCCTGATAAAAGTAACAGGAAAAACATCTTACAAAGAAATGTATTGTCGGTGATTTTAAAGTTAGAAAAAAAATTGGGAAAAGTAAAGAATTTAATTTTTAAAACTTAAACGGAAGGAAAAAAATCCAAAGAGAAAACTTTTACAAAAAAGAGCATAAAATTGGAATTGGTGATTGTACAGGATTTGGTGTTGGATAGGCATTATTTAAAATGCTAAAATTGACTGTGGAAAAAAAATAGCATTTGAAAAAGTTGGCATATTTGATGAAAGTTTAAAGAAATGGAAAAAAAAGGTGGAAAGTTAAAACTGGAATAAGAGTGCCATCTGCTGTTAAAAAAAACCTGTAGATCCCTTAAACTTTATGACCTATTTAAAGTGTGAATTTAAAAGAAAATAAAAGGAACTGTATTACAACAAGACCTCAGAAAATTGGAACATTAACATTAAAACGGTGGTAGAATATATGAAGATACTATCCCTGAATTTTTGAAAAGGAATAGACTGATTAAACTTGGGAAATAAAGACTTAAGGCGATTGGACTTGTAGATCGAAGAAAAACACTGGTTTAAATAAAGACTGTGGGACAATTGGATACTTGGACACGCACAAAAAATAAGCAAAATAAAAATGAGCGAAATATGCAAAGAAATAGTGGAACTTCAAACTATAAAAGAAATGATAAACAGAAGCTTGGACTTACGGAATAAAATACAGAGCATGAAAGAAGATACAAAATTAGATAGATAGCTATAGAGATAAATTCTGAATGTAACAATTTGAAGGCATGTATGTACATGCTTACCTTCATGAAAATGCATTCACTTGTGGTGGAATGACTTGTAGTAGAATGGTATTGATAATGCTAGATAACGTACTAGGAAACACAAAATGCAGAAATATATACCCTTTCAGTATGTTCTTTTTTGATACTTGTTAAATGAGAAGTGTATGGGACATTAAGCAATGATCCCATCTGACCACAGCATTCAATGTCCTGCTAGCTTTCCCATTGACTTTGCTTGTGGGAAGTTGGCAGCGAACATTGGAGATTGTGACCATGTGGTTATAGCTCATTGCAATTTCTTAATTAGGATCCGGATCCCAAATGATCACGTTACTGCAGCAACAGCCAAAACTCCAAAGATCTGTTATAATTACCACACATTCAGCACAAGTTTGAACAGTCAATGAGTGAATGGTAATTAAATGAAGACCACCTGTATCCCAAGCAAGAGATTGCAAATGTGCACTGACATTATTGTTCTAGGAGAAACTTACTGGAAACCTGTGAATATATAGATTGATGAATTATCAGAACTCATTTTTCCTTAAAATTTCTCAGTTCATCTCATTTTAATTGAATTTTCATGTCAACTCTTCAGACTATGTTTGCCTGACACATACCCCTAGTTTATGTTTAAGTTATAACTATTGATTTATAACTAAATAACTTATAACTATTGATTCTACCCAGTGGTGGGTTTCAAAGAGGTTTATCACCAGTTCAGTGGGCGTGGCTTGGTGGGCGTGTTTTGCATGTACACACACTGTGCATGCTCAGAGGCTTTCCTACTCACCTCCTGCAATCCCTGTAGCTTCAACAGCTGATGTGCGGCAATTGCTATGCCGCGCAAAGCAGCTGCGCTTCAAAAGCAGGGAATAAAGGTGAGTATGGGAGCCCGGTCTGGCGGGTGGGCCCAACAGCAGCTCGTCAGAGAGAACTGGTTCGGTCTCAGCCAATCTTCGGCGCTACCAGTATGCCAGAACCGGGCCAAACCAATAGAATAGAACCACTGATTCTACCCTTTTTGACACCACTCTCAAATGCCTTTTGTGGGTTGTTTTCAGTTTATAGTGTGCACTCTTTTCAAGCGTCTCTACAGTGTTCTAAAACAACACATTATTAGAGAAACAAATCTAAAATTGGGTTGTTTAAGTGTATTTCTTCTGTTATCAATGAATGGAAACGAAAGCTGTCAACCTTTCTTTAGCTCAGGATTATAGCTCCTATTTCTATTCTGTACTTGAGTCACAAACTGGTAATATTATGATTAAGTTGGATTGGTTTGGGAGAGAGGGGGTTAACGAGTGAAATTGATTAGGTAGGTTAGCTTAAGGCATCCCATTTATTTCTCAACTACCTTAAAATGGGAAAAATTAGGCCAATATTTAGGTATACAAGTAATCTTTGGTTAAAGACTACCCTGTTTGATGATCATTCACTTATAACAGCATCTCTGTGGTCACATGATTACCTTTCCACTCTTCACAGCTCACTTCTGACATGATAAGGATAAGCCAAGGGGGGAAACCAGCAGGAAGTCGCAAGTCTTTGTCATATGACTTTTGCTTATCCATTTGTGTGATTCTCTTAACAACTGAACTGATATTGTCAGTCAGGCATGGACACATTATGTGTCACTTAACAACTATATTGCTAGTCCCAATAGCGGTAGTGAAGCGAGGACTACTTATATTTTGAATTATTATTTATGGAGTGTTATTAATCCTTTTAGCACCAGTTTTGTCCCTTGAAGCCTCCAGAACTGAGGAGATCTGCAGAGGCTTGAAGCTGTATTAGTCCAGGCTAAACTCAAAACTCCAATGGCAGCATTTGGGAATAAAATATCAAAAGTTACATGATCATGCTTTCCGAATTGTTCAGGATGAGTGTATTGTACAAATGCATTATGTTTCTTCGATTATGAATATTAGTTATTTGTGAATTTATGTATTAAAATTCTAATATATTTGTTCATTCTGGCATAACAAATATTCTAAAATATGAATACATATTCCTTAAAGTAGTCTGCTATTTCCAGGGAAAGATACATTTAAATTTGCAAAATTCATATTCCTCAAGGATATTTTTCTTACATTTTTTAAAATCAAAATCACCTTTCTAGATACCTAACCCTAATCATCTTTTCCTATTTATACAACAGGAACAATCACGGTTAAATTCTCTTGTGTGCCAGACCTTTGTCTTCTGTTATTTGTGGTCTGTGGGTGGAAATGTAATGGAGAACTGTTGGGATGCTTTTGATACATTTGTAAGACAGCAATTTGAGGATAACCCTGATGCCAAGGTATGAAATATATTGTGGGAAGAATTTATTGCCATTTGTGGTAATGTTCTTCATTATCATATTGCAATAAAACAAGAGTCATTTTTCCTTTTATCTCAGCCTATAAAAAAGATATTCACAAGTGTTTCTAGATTCAGATACACCCCAAACAAACATCCCTTTAAAATAATGTTAGGCTAGGAATATGCAAAATTCACAGATTTGGGAAGAGAATATTTGGGAAGAGAACATTCTGGAATTCAGGAAAGTTCTCTTTTTCTGTAGATCTTGCTAAACTGCCTCTTGAACTGGAGATGATCCAGCAGTTTCTGGAATTAAATTCCCTGAACTAGAAGTGTTTGACATGTTCTGGACCAGTTTCCTAATCCGTTTCAGGGCTGGGTCAGCCTGGTTCACCTTGAATTGCTTCTATTTTGAAAGATGGGGATCGCCTCTGGAATGACATTTTCAAGGAGTGTTTTGGCATGGCTTGGAAGGAAATGGAATGTTCCATCCCAAAATGATAGGAATGCATATCACTATTTGGCTATATAATAGTTGGTACAGGCATCTCTCTTCCCCTTTGGTTTCTGGACCCAATTCTCTAGGGCTATTATAATTTAGACAATAAGAGATTTCAGATCTTTCAAACTGGGGCGTTCCTCATAAGGAGGTCTCCAAGCATATCTGTGGCTCAGAATCCTAGATCAGCTACTTTTAAAACAATGTTGAGTAGACTAAACCTTTGTTTAAAAATAGGCTAAACGCAGCAGACAGGAATGGTGTGGAGGTTGTTCCATAATGCTGCAGCAGCAGAGAGAAGTGGCTGGTTCTCTCTCCTGGTTTATTTTCTGAAAACTTCCCCCACCTCTACCCAATCTGTGCCTGTCAGCTCTTTTTCAGGTTTGCTGACAGGTGCTGATGTTAAAGAGTCAGCTTCCCCATTTCCTGCCACCTCTACCAGCATTTGCTGCTGATTTCTGGGGGTGGTGGGGAGAGAAGAGGAAAACAAGGTGATTTGCCCTTCAGGTCTCACAATAAATAAAGATACAGCACTTATAGCATCAATGATATAATTTTCTATAGTCTGAAAGACTGATAGACAGCATTCTTGGCTCTTAGTCTCTGTAAGATATATTATTATTGGTATAAAGCCTAAGTAAACTTCATGTACAACAACTGGCAAACATGTGAAATAAATAAAGTTTTCCTTGATTATTCGCTGATTCAGGATGCATAGTTGTAATGCCTGCTTTAGATATTTTTTAATGGTAAATTCTGAGGATACTGAACAAAATTCTGCATTCATTATTGTAGAGAAAAACCCAAGAATGTATTACAGTAGTAGTTTCTGCTCATTTATGGATCAAAGAATCTGAGCAATTTATGCTTCGAACCCCTATATCTGTTATTAATAGAAGGTTTCCCATTTTCCTGCATATTCCATTCTTTTACTCTTAGTCCTTGGTAGAACATTAACACAACTGTTTCACCTTCTAGCTCCCAACTTCAGGTGATTTGTGGAGTGTTTACATTGATTATGATACAAGGCGCTTGGATCCTTGGGAGCGAATTATACCAACCTTTAAATACAAAAGGACAGTTCCATTTTTCGAAATGCTTGTTCCTACCACTGACACTGTACGCTATGGCTTTCTAATGGAAAAATTGCTAGCTGTCAAACATTCCGTGCTCTTCACAGGAATTACTGGAGTTGGCAAGGTAAGAAGTATTTGATTACACAGTGAAATCATTTGGTTTTGAAAAAAAGTAGCAGACTTAAGTGGACTTATTAAAGATATTTAAAGGATTGTTCATTAAGGCATTCTTGACTAAGGCCCAATCTAATTATGACTCCCACCATATAGTTGGGTGTTGTGTAATTGTTCTTTATTTAAAAATAACAGCACAAGGGCTGTGAGGCAGATGAGGCATCATCTGTAGAGAAGAAGACTTGAACATTTTTTTCCTACTGGTAGGCCTAATCACCATTCTTCAATTTGAATGCCATGTATACCCTGTTCCCAGTTCTAATCAAGACAGTAGTCTTTCATACTACAGTCCCAATCTGACTCAACCCTTTTCTTCCCATCCTTGCAATTAGCCATTCTGTTGCAACACAAGCCACACACAGACACACACACACTCCTTTTGGATGTGGGCCATGACTTTGCACAAACATCCCAAAGCTGCAGAATTTGCAGCAAATTAGCACAAAACTCAGTCTCTCTCTGCCTCTCTCTCTGCCTCTCTCTTTCTCTCTCCTCTCCCCCCCCCCTCATAATTTCTGCATTTTGGGAAATTAATTCTCCATTACAACTATAGCTTCATTATAAAGGTTACACTATCTCCTGATCAGCCAAAAAGGAAGAAGGAAAACAAATGCATTATAAACATTTTGAAAGACTTGTGGAATCCCTTGTTTAGTGGGAATGGGAAAAGAGAGAAAAAAACATGCATATGAACATTTTTGTGGCCCATAGAAATGGAATGGAAGAAATGGAAGAAACATGATTGGGAAATGTAACAGTATTCTGTAGTCTGCTCCACGTGTAGCAATATAGTTAATATTGGAGGGAATTATGGTATCTATATGTCCTGTTATTTCTCTACCTTTTCTTTTACAAAGTCTGTAGTTGCAAAGTCACTGCTTAACAAAATACAAGATGAAGCCGGCTATGTTCCTGTTTACTTAAATTTCTCTGCTCAGACTTCTTCATCCAGGACACAAGAGATTATAGAATCAAAATTAGAAAAAAAAAGAAAGAACATTTTGGGTAAAGATAAGTAATTACATTCTTTTTTTGTACTAGATTATTTTGTTTTTGTTTGGTTGCTTCTCTTTGTAGCACTTGATCACCTAACAGAATTTGAAGAAAATTATCTTTCTGATAGGGGCAATTCATTAATATTCTTTCTGCTTCAGATTTGAACACGAAAACAATATAGTTGTACCTTAAAGTAACAGCAAAAGGAAGAGTGACTTGAAATATGAATATAGGCTGCAGTATTGTATTGTATACTTCAACATTTCTCTCACAAGAGGGCACTATTGGCATTTGACAAATCTAATATATTCATCTTATTATGTTAACCTGAGTTTCCGTTTAATGCAGTTTTTTCAGTCAGCCTCTCTTTTCCTTTTGTCATGCAGGAATTCCCAGCTGCTGAGGTTTATCAAATATGTTTCCCTTCCCTGTTTTTAAATTAATGTTAAAATTATACCAAAGTGCAATTTCTGTTACTTGAGGCTAAATACAAACACAACTGCATATAATGTTCAGGGTGCTCTGGCTACATGTTGCTCATACCTGAATAATATTAATATTTGTGGGAAGTAGATAACCAGCCCCTCCATATTTTAAATGTTGGGACACAGCCATGATTGAAAACTCAGATTCTAATGAATAGTTAAGCTTTTTGCAGAAATAACAGAATAACATTTGGAAGGGATCTTGGAGGTCTTCTAGTCCAACATCCTGCTCAAGAAGGAAACCCTATACCATTTTAGAGAAATAATTGTCCAATTCTTCTTTTAAATCTCCAGTGTTGGAGCACCGCCCAACTTCTGGAGGCAAACTGTTCCACTGACTAGTTGTTCTAACTGTCAGGAAATTTCTCCATAGTTCTAGTTTGGTTCTCTCCTTGATTAGTTTCCATCCATTGTGTCTTGCCCAGCCTTCAGGTGCTTTGGAGAATAGGCTGACCTCCTCTTCTTTGTGGCAACCCCTTAGATATTGGAACATTGCTATCATGTCACCCTAGTCCTGTGATGGCAAACCTATGGCACGTGTGCCAGAAGTGGCACGCAGAGTCACCTCACCGAGCATGCCATCCATCACCTGTTCCTTTTCCGGGTTCCAGTGCATGCATGCACGCCAACCAGCTGGTCTTCACATATGTGGGAGTACTATAAACTGGAAGAGCGCATGCCAGGAAATGTACGCATGCCCTGGCGCATGCCAGGAAGTGCACGCCGGCCAGCTGGTCTTCTGATTTCTGGTGCACATGCACACACAAGAGACCCGCTGGCTAGTGCACATGTACGCGCTGGAAAACAGAAGCTCAGCATCCCGGTGCGTACATGCACTCTGGGGAGCTGCTCTTCTGGTTTTTAGTGTTCCCCTGTGTGCGTGCGCACACTCCCATTTTGGCACTTGGTGCCGGAAAGTTTCGCCTACACTGCCCTAGTCCTTCTTGTCTGTTCTCTGTATGAATCTTGTCAAAATGTGTGTTCAGGAGAAAAAGTATTTTGCCTTCTAATCTAAACGTGGTTTGGCCAGATTTTGTTCTTGTTTTACCAATCTATTATTAAAGAAAAGAGGATAGAATTATATGTTCCAAAGGTCCTTTTTTTTTTCCAAGAGACAACTGGACTTTCTGGTTTTTCTTTGAAGACGTTTCACTTCTCATCCTTCTTCAGCTTTGACTGGATGGTGAGGAATGGAAGGATTTATACTCCTTGCAGATAGCTGATCATTTGCATTCTTTTAGCAGGTCCTTAAGGTCACATAGGGGTTTATCTAGGTTATTATCTATGTGAACCTCCAGATGGCTTTAATGACTCACTAAAAGAATGCAAATGACCAGCGGTCTGCAAGGAGTATAAATCCTTCCATTCCCCACCATCCACTCAGAGCTGAAGAAGCTTCTTGGATGAGAAGTAAAACGTCCAGTTGCCTCTTGGGAGAAAAAAAAAAAGCACCTTTGGGACAACCATGACCTGGATGACTGAGAATCTCCATAGGCATAGAATTATGTGCCTTTCTTTCCCTTCAACAGAAATGGCAAAATAAACCATATTCACAAAATTCCTTTACAGATTGATCTACTTTGCCAGGACCCATGGGTTTAGCTCCCTAGGGCAGCTTTTCTCTAGATAAATCTGAACTGCAATTTCTTCTATTCCAGGGGTGTCTAACTGGATTTCTTTGAGGGCCAGATCAGCATAGTAGTTCTCCTCCGTGGGCTGCCTGGGGGGGTGGGTGGAGAGGGGGAGGGAGATGGGACTGATGTCTCCTGCCAGCCAAAACAGGGTGTAGGGGGGGCTCGTGTGGACCCCCTGCACCCCCATTTTCAGCTTGGATGGCTTCCTGCAGCATCTGTTTTGGGCTGAGTTTTCTGCAGGAGGCGGAAAACAGCCACACGCAGCCCCCCTGCGACCCATTTTGGCCAGCAAAGGCACTGCAGGCCAGTCCTTTGATATTTCCAGGCTGGCTCCGTGGGCCAGATCTAAGCTTGGCACCCCTGCTCTATTCGCTGCTGGGAATTCTGGGATTTGCAGCACCGAAAAATCTGATGATCTCCAACTTGGAGAAGCCTGCCTTAGATGCAAGTAAATATACTACCTTATAGTATATAGTTACTTTATAGGTAATGCTAAAGGCAGTTTAGGTTAAAAAAAAATGCTGTGCAGAGCTTTCTTCAGCTCTCATGATCATGGGCTATCACTCATCTTCTGTTGCCTTCACCCCATCAAAATTTCCAAGGCTCTCTTTTGTTCTCTACTTTTAACAACATATTGCTAGAAGAGAACATAAAGCTGATTTACTGCATCTGTTAGGCTATTTATTTTATATATTATTTATGTTTGCCTGCCTCCTTGCTCTAACATGCCTGATTTTAGCTTTAAACTTACTAGTGGGCTTTATCATAGTTCTCTGCAATATTCATCAGAAAATGGTGATATAAATAGATAAAAGAAATCTATTACTGCTAGTCCTATCAAAGCGTGGATACAGAACATCTGACAACTTTTTTTTTTAGATTTAAATTAACAATTAATTCAACTAATTGTTGTACACTGCCCAGAATCCTTCTCTGGGGGAGACAGCTAGTTTAGAACTATAAAAAATAATTAAATAAATAAGTAAATAAATAATCTTACAGTTGTTCTGAAAAATGGTACATTAGCATTTTTCATTTTAGTGCAAATTCACAGTACCTGCTTGGATTCTATAAAATATATCAATTTCCATACTGCTCAACAGAGGATAGCATGTGCCATTTGTATGCACTGTGATTATTTTTTAATATCTGCCAGATATCTTATTACTGTGATGTAATACCACACTATAAAGCGGTCTATAAATCTAACTGCTATTGCTATTGCTAATATACTATAAAAATAACTAATTTACACAAAATGTGTTATTACAGCATTATATAAAGTTGGTGTAAGTAAGGCATCAGGCTAGAAATAGGGACTTCTGCCTTAGACATAAAGACAGCTTAGGTGACCTTGGGCCAACCATGATCTTTCTGCCTAAGGAAGAAAGCAATGGCAACCCACTTCTGAAATCTTGTCAAGAAAACTGTAGGAACTCACCAGGAGTCAACACTCATTCAAAGCTGCGTGCGCATACAAAAGCAGACTTCCCCAATAGGTTGCCTTTCATGTATTTCTATTATATACAATCCCTAACCAGCATGGTCAACATTTAGGGACTGGGGAAATCAAAAACAGATACTGTACATCTGAACTATTTAATTTGAGAAGACTGAAACAGAGAGAGGGAGGGGGAGGGAGGGAGGGAGACAGCTTGGAGGACCCAGTCTAATACTGGTACCTATGAACTATTGACCAAAGGAGAAAATTGTAGATGGAGAGTTAGGGATTTACTCTCTGTGCCCTCTTTGTTCATCACTCTATTGCTTTTTATCTGAAAGACAGCTAATCTGACATCCCTTCAGTTTTGACTTTTGTACATATGCTCTGACTCTTTTCCTGCTACAATGTAGTTATCCAAGGGCCAGGCTTTGATTAGCCCTATAATGTATTTCCTATAAATACATTATCCATTATAAATACAATCCTCATTTCTGATGCATCTATCAATCTTGTGTCACTAATAATTGCTCAGATTAAATTCCAACTCTCAGAAATGATTGTATAGACACACACCTGTAGAACATTCCAGTCTCCAATAAAAAATTCCAAAGGTTTGTGATTGCCCTCCTTCTCAGCATTTTCACTCGTTATTTGATTATGTCTCAGTGATTTTAGGCAACTACTTTTTAATTTTAAAAAGTAATTGCTGTATTTTCTTTATTTCACCTTCAACTTTATTTTATTATTGTAAAGATGGTATGGACGGGTGGGGGGGGGAGCAGAAATTCATATTAGAAGACCAACTCTGCCCTGAATGGCGCCTTATCATTTTTTTTCCCTTTAGGAAAGCTGTATGCCTTACTTCAATATTTGCTGGAAGATCAGTTAGTTGTCAGATGTAGTCTCTAGGTGACTAGTCAGCAAGCCCACTCTGTCAAATACATAGTGGTTGATGGTGTTAAAGTCTTGTTTGACAAACTGAATTCTTCTGATATCCATTACTTTAATGCTTGGGTTTATTGAGGAATATGTACAATAAGGCAAAAACACTTCTCATTTGTTGACAGTAGCCTTTTAGAGAATGAGGTGGCTGGATGGAGTCACTGAAGCAGTCGGTGTGAGCTTAAATGGACTCCGGGGAATGGTAGAGGACAGGAAGAGCTGGAGGAACATTGTCCATGGGGTCACGATGGGTCGGACACGACTTCACGACTAACAACAACAGCCTTTTAGATGCCATTTATTGAGGATAAAATTGTGTTCGTTTGGAAGTAGTATGCCTGATTTAATTGTTTCCCCCTGCGATTTGTTTGCTTTCTGATGATTCTGATCCCTTCGGTGTGATCTCTTCAGGTTCTCTTGTTGTCCAGTCAACCTCTTCAATTTTTCCTACTAAGGAAGCCTTATTAAGGATGTGATAAGCTTTCTTTGCAACTGCTTCTTCTGCAGAAGGGATGTTAAAACATTGCCATATGTCTTCATCCTGTTTGGCAATTGTCTCACTTCAGAGAGGCCTCAGCAGGTTTTCACTACAGACAACTGTTTAGTAACCATTATATCACCCATGAATATAATACTGATGATCATTACCCCAAATTGGTTTTTGTGGACTGTTCCCTTTCTGCCTCTGATAAAGCTTTCTTTTTTCTGATTCAAAAATGCAGAATTAGTGACAGCTTATGTCCGTTTTTACTTAGAACTGATTATCTGATCTTGCTCAGTCTATTGCATATAGTCTTTTACATAGATATTTGCTCTAAGATAGCCATTTTACCTTTGTTAAAAAAAACATTAAATATCTCTACAACTACAAATCAGATATTCTTGTATTTTCTGAGTAAATGTTTTGAACTGTTAGTAAATTATATATCTCTGAGAACTTCCTCTCTGTTTGTGTGCAGTTTATGCGATGAAATGTAGTGAGGAGATGAATCCCCGTGTGGGAGGGGGTGCATTCCAGAAGAGTAAGAGGCAACTTAGCCTAGATATTATACATGAGAGAAAGAGGACAAAGACACATCCTCCCTAATAGTTCTCAGAGTATATTGTAAATGCAGATAGTAGAGTTCTCAGTCCGGCAAGGTTTTGTCTGTAGGTGTGAAACAGTAAAGAACTCAGCTTGGAAGAATTGCCAGGTGTCCTTTTTTATTTTGGGCCCGACAGTTTATCAGTTGTCCTCTTGGTATTGCAAGAGCAGTTCTCAACGTACGACCACAATTGAGGCCAAAACTCATGTTGCTAAGCAAGAAATTTGTTTAGTGAGCTTTGCCCCATTTTACAACTTTTCTCGCCACATTTGTTAAGTGAATCACTTCAGTTCTTAAATTAGTAATACGGTTGTTAAATGAATCTGGCTTCTCCATTGACTTTGCTTGTCAGAAGGTCGCAGAAGGTGATCACGTGACCCCAGGACACTGCAACCGTCATTAATGTGAGTTGGTTGTCAAGTAGCCAAATCTAAACCATGTGACCATGGGGATACTACAATGGTCATGTGAAAAATGGTCATAGGTCATTTTTTTTCAGTGCCGCTGTAACTTTGAACAGTCACTAAATGAACTGTCATAAGTCGAGGACTCTCTGTACAGTAATATGGAAATCATTCAAACCTCGCCCACAATTTTAATTAATAAAATTCTCAATTCATTTAGAGATTAAATCAGAGCATAGAAGAAGTCAACTGGCAGCCTTTAATATAGATCCATCCTTCCTGGTTTTTTCCCAAGATAAAAAAATAGGGCTGTGTCCAAGTATTTGTTTCTTAAAGAAGTGTCCTGTTTTCATGTTAGGGCAGTATTCTGTCTACTTTCTTTTGTTTGCCAAGCCCGGCTTTCATAACAAGTAATTACATTTTTTAATCTGTTATGCGTAGACTTATCAGCTTCCCTCCTTAGTGTTTTTGGGTAGCAAATACTTAACACACATGCCAACCTGCCTTCTTCTCCATGCTTATTCCTCTGAGTCAAGCAAGCTTCTGCTATATTGATTTCCCAGGGGAGCTGCATTGCCTGACATTTGTCAAACAGCTAACTATCCTGCAGATTAGAAACCAGAGCATAGACAGATGTTGGTTTCAAATGGGCAGTCTTCAATAACCAATCTGCCCTTCCATCAGCAAGTATAAATATGTGGTACATGGGAGAAAGAGACTGGCTATCTTCAAGTGTGGCTCTTCAAAATGATGATGTATGCTTTCACACAATCTACCCGCCATCCTTTTTTCAGGCATATTTCTTTTCAGCCTACTATGAGAAGCATTTTCTGTCTGTTTAAGCTCAAGGACCTCAATGGAGCTTCACGGAATTTGTGGTAGGCTTATTCCTGTGGAAAGCTTTGCTTTAGGATTTTTCAACATTTCCCGAGTGTAAATGAACATTTCAAGAATCAGAATTGTAAAGTTAGCAGAATTATTGCACACTGAAATACTAAATATTTGGGGTAGGTATGTATTTTATGGCAAGGCTTACCATCAGTGGTTTCTTTCCTCATGTATTGTTCAGGAGCACCAGGGAAAAAAAGAGTGGTCATTTTTGTGGATGATTTAAACATGCCGAAACTGGATCGTTATGGCTCACAGCCCCCTATTGAACTACTTAGACAGTACCAAGACTTTGGAGGATTCTATGACCGAGATAAGCTGTTTTGGAAGGAAATCCATGTAAGTCTATTTTCAGTGCCTTTGATTGTTCTAATTCCATTTTTCATTAGAGACATGCTATAAATAGTGCTAATTACTGCTCTCCTTCCCAAAGGCTGGATTCTGATGCATGTAGAGTTTTGAGGCTTGTTGTTTCTGTGAGACATTCTTCACTCCAGTTCATACAGGCAATGAACGCTATGGCATATAATGGAGGCTTTGCCCTGTAGAACGAGCTGTTAATTTATTACTGTTCTCTGTGTATATCTATGCCATATTTTTGTGTCACAGATTTAACAAACAGAATCATTGCATTTGGAAGATTTCCCAACTGTTGTTGTTCTAGTTGTTATTTAAATCTGTATACAGCCCAACTCCCAATGACTTTAGGCAATTGTAGCAGCAGGAGAAAGAAGGTAAATTCGGAGAGAAGCTATGTTCACAACAGAAAATATGAACATTCCCTTTGCAAGTTGCTGAAGGCATGTGTATTACTTCCACATCCTATTCCTCCATCTGGAAGCTCAAATATTGCTTCATCCGATATTTTCTTTTCAGTGTATGTTTGGTCCAGGCAGATATTATGCCTTAACAATCTGCCAACACTCACTGACAAAATGGTTGCTTTTGAGAGGTGCATTCTTTAGCAATGTTTGGTCTAAAATGAAAATCAAAAAGGATATGTTAAATCTCTATAAGACCTGGGGCTCCTATTTTTGATGTGATATTCTTCAATTTATGCTCTAAAATAGACTGAAAATATTCAGTGTTGGCTACCCAGTGACCTCCATTACTAGCATGCACCTCCTAGCCTTAAGACAAAATATCAGATTGGATCAGATATAACTATCGGGGGGGGGGGGAACCATCAGGAGAAATGGAGGCAGGAATGATATATCATGTCCTTTTTTCAGGAAAAGCAACCATGTGTTATAAACTATTCTGTTTCAGAGAGAAAGCTCTTAATGGTATTATCTCCTGGGCGCTTCTGTGTCCTGGCATGTCTGGGCTGCCTCAAGGCCTAAAAGCTATTTAGGTCACCACAGGTGCCCAGTGCTCCCCAATCCTTTACCTCATTACCATGTGAATGATTAGGCTGGAAGGGAGAATGGGTGAAGGTGACTTCCCTCCTGTGCCCTTTTCTTCAGAGTGATTGGATTTCCAGACCCGTATCAGAGGGCACATGACAATTACAACTGAAAGAAGCACGATGAAGTAGCGTAGGAGCTCGACCTTTGCATGCTCTCTTCTCCCAGTCGATCATATCCTTGGCAAGCTGCCAGATAAAATGGGGAGCTTACCAGGAACGCAGCTGTACCTTGGCAGAAGTGGACTAAGATGTGGCCAGTGACATAGTGCATAGAATTCTGCAAACTATTCAGAAGAAGTGCTTTTTGCAAGGCAGATCGGCACAAATTAAGTGTCTGTCTCTCTTTAAAGTGTTAATGTAAACTGCATCCTTTGCAAGGCTACACAGTTGGGTTAAAGGTTGGGTTTGGTTTTCTGCATGTATATTGTTCTGTCCTCATTACACGTTACTCTGTTTGCAGCTTGATGTGCAGCTAAATCCACCTATCCTCCAATAAATCAGACTGTGTGCATAGATCTGGATGCTTTATTAAAGGAACAGGATGGTTGAAACTGGGATAAAAATAAATAGATAAATAAACAGATAAATAAATAAATTTCTTCATGGTGCTTCTGTTTCTTTCTGAATGTTAAAGGAAATGGAGTCTGGCTTTCCAGGATGCACTTGTTTTGAGAATGAGGGTTCATGGATAGATGACTCTTAAAGGGGAGAGTCAGCTTCCAAACAATACAGATTGGTATTTGGCCCCGGCCACTAGATGGGGCTAGAGAACAACAACACTATATATACAAATTATATGCTGGGACATGACATATATTCCAACCTAATGTTTCTGCTAGGACTATTAGTAAAACTAAGTGCCTATGCACACATGCACAGAGGGCCAGAAATAGCCTTTGAAGGAGATGTGAGAGAGGAGCTATTTTAACACATTAAAGAGATGTTCCATTACTAACAGTACATTTTGTAAAGCACCTGTTTTGAATACTCTGCATGACACTATGTATTTTTTTCCTAATTTATTAATGTCTGGTCACAGTCAGTAGTTGTGCTCTGACGAAGGTAAAATCTGCTGATTTTTTCCTGAAATTTAAACACCAGAAGAAACAATCCACTTGAGGACAGCAGTTTTCTAATCAAATTACTCTTATACTTGGCTAGGTCAATATTTGTCAAGTTCCTTGTGTTATGCCATCTGGATTCTTTTATATTCAAAACTGTAGAAGAACCCAGAATTGTATAAACTCGAGCTAAACCTTTATGCTCACAGTACAGGTATTTTGATACCAAATTAAAAATTGAAGTAAGAATAGAATATCAAGTATATTGAGTGATGGTTTACGTATAAATATATTCTTTGAAACAGGGATCTTTAGAAGTAATAGCGCCACAGATTATTAACTTCTCACACAAATCATCATGTCCCCAGGACGTAACTATTTGTTCAGCTTGTGCACCTCCTGGTGGTGGACGTAATCCAGTTACCGCACGTTTCATAAGACATTTTGCTATGCTGTGCCTTCCAACGCCCTCTGAACATAGCCTTAAACAAATTTTTCAGGTGAGTACCGCCATCTATGTACATAAAAGAAACAAAGTATGCATTCTTTGGGCTTTCTGCCATAGCATATTGTTGTGTAGTGCAAGATCCAGATAGACAGCTGGGCTAAAGCTACTGGTAATTTCATTTAGATCAGAATGTAAAATAGCAAACGTACCTCTATAAATAAACAACCAGACCCAGGTTTCTGCTTTTGGCTTTATTGTTTTAATTGCTTTTCTGGTTTTTAGTATTGTATCGATCTGCTGAGAGTTTCATTCTTAAAATGAGTGCCCGTACAAAGTTTTTAAATAAACAAACTGGGCTAGACAAGACTACCTTGTGTACAAACTGACAAAATTTACTTTTTTTCAGATCCCTTTTTCTGAAGAAAAGGTTTTCAGGATAAAAACATTAGTACGTTTAATGCTCATTTGTACAGATAATGTTCTCTGCATACCTTCCAGATGCATTCTTTCTTTCTGTAGCTTTACAAATTAAAGAAAATTATAGTGTTTAAAAAAGCAAGCCAAAGCTATATGTTCCAGCTGTGAATAGATGAATTGCTCTGATGCACAATAGAATTTTTTTTCTATCAGCTGCCTTGATCCAGAACCTTGTGTGAGTGTTTGGCAATGAAACATAACACTCTTGCTTTCAGATGCTTCCTTATTGCTTTAATTTGTTTGCAAATTATGAATTGGCACTCCCATCATAATAAATTGGGAATTCTGATAGATGTAAAAAATTGGTACTCAAAGTAGATGAAGAATTTCAGCACTTTGTACAGAACTATAGATTAATTCACTTTTAGTGATTTTGTAAAAACAAAACTGTTGTAAAAGAAAGAAACACATTTAAATATTTAGCTTTGTGTTTTACATTATTTTTCCCTTGGTCTAGGCAATTCTGAAAGGCTTCCTAGCTGAATTTGCCCAAGTAGTAAAGCAGTGTGCAAGTAGTATAGTGGAGGCTGCTGTTGAAATATATCAAAGAATGAGCATTGATCTGCTCCCAACACCAGCAAAATCTCATTATGTATTTAATTTACGTGATTTGTCAAAATGTGTCCAAGGTAAGTTATATCTATTCCATATATTAATTTTTTGTTATTCAGATTCTGCGCCCACATCTTCAGCAATTATTCTCTATATTTATCACATTACATACATTTAATTTTTTTTTTCTGTACAGGTAGTCCTCAACTTACAACCACAATTGAGCTCAAAGTTTATGTTGCTCGGTAAGAAATTTGTTAAGTGAATTTTGCCCCATTTTACAGCTTTTCTTGCCACATTTGTTAAGTGAATCACTGCAGTTCTTAAATTAGAAACACAGTTGTTAAGTTAATCTGTTTTCTCCATTGACTTTACTTGTCATAAGGCCACAAAAGGAGATAACATGACTCTGGGACACTGCAACCATCATAAATGTGAGTCAGTTGTCAAGCATCCGAATATAAATCACATGATTATGGGGATGCTGCCACAGTCATAAGTGTGGAAAATGGTCATAGGTCACTTTTTTCAGTGCCCTTGTAACTTTGAATGCTCATTAAATGAACTGTTGTAAGTTGAGGACTACCTGTATTAATAACAAATATTGATAATTCACTTTATGATTTGTTTTCATATTTTAGTCATAAATAACATTATTGCTAGCATACTCTTTCATAAAGGTATCATACTTAACACAGTAGACTAAGAACTGCTGCCCCATTCTTGAACAAAGATGCCCGTTTTGAAGAAGTTTAGAGAAAACTTCAAATCAGAGTGGTACAATTTGTACCAATCATACTCAAAAAGCAGATGAATCCAGTGCAATTATAAATAAAATAATTTGTGTTATAGCCCTAGTGAAATCTAAAATATACAATATATAATGCCAAATATTATAATATTTGCTGGCTTATGTGGTCCAAAATTAATTAACTATATATTTCTGATGTACTTTTCTCTGAAATGAAGTGGACAATTACCTTTATTGTATTTCCTAAAGCACACATAAAATCAGATAATATAATGATTAGAACTCATCTTTTCTGGTGTTTCCCAAGTTTGGCAACTTCCAGATGCAAGAATTTCAGATCCCAGTATTCCACAGCCAAGATGACCATTGCTGAGAATTCTAAGAATTAAAGATCACATAACTACAAGTTATTGAAATTGAGAATATTGAGTTCAGTTCCACATTTAGTGTAGAAACCTTATTACTACATCTCCAACAGATGTCCATTCAGTCTCTGTTTAAGTTCGTCCAGCAAAGAAAATCCACACCCTCTCCCGCTGCAACTACAGAATTTCACTACAGAACAGCTTGCACCATTAGAAAATGCTCCTTAACCATCCAATCAAAATTTGCCTCATTATAATTTAAATCCATTTATTTTTGGCTTGTGTTCTGAAACAACACGAAGCAAATCTACCCTGTCTTCTACATGGCAGCCATTCAAATGCATATCTGACTGCAGTCTTCTCTTTCCCAGAGGAAATATACCAAATGTCTCCAAGTCTCCAAGTGCCTCATAAATTTTTCCTTCCAGGGCCCAAATTATTTTGGTTGCTTTCTTCTGGGTACACTCCAGTTTGTCAATATCCTTCCAGGAATAAGGATAATATTCTAGATATGGACTTTAAAAAATAGAGAGGGAGGAAAGAATTTTCACAGTTAAAAGTATCAGTAGGCTGATCAAACTTTATAGTCCAGGTTTATTTAATTTAAATATACAGATAAACAAGATTGAGGCATTAGTTCCAATCCTATGTCTACTTTGCAACATCTTTATTTTCCAGAATAGCTCTTGAGTTCCACATAGATCCCCTAAGCATATCTGGTGGGGGGGGAACCCTGGCTGACTATATTAAAGTGTACCTCTTCCCTGCCGTTTTATATGAGCAACAATAATGCTGTCAACATTCCAAACACGGATAGGTTTTTGTTTAGTGAATAGAATCAAGTTTACTTGGTAAACTGGTAAGATTGCATCCTGCAGTCCTCTCTAGATATGATTGTGTGATTAATAATAAACATGAATTAGTAGTTTTCATAGCTCCCGTATTTTGGTTTTGAGACAAGGAGATGCTTCTTTTCTGCTGAAATGCTAGCATTTCTTATGGTATCTCTGGACACTTGCATAACTAGATAGAAGTATACAACAAATGGTCAAAATTGGGAGCGTCCTATCAAATTCTGTACCTGTCATTAGTGGGGTCCCCCAAGGCAGTGTTCTTGGACCAACTCTCTTAATTCTCTACATAAATGACCTCTGTGATCATATTAAGAGCAACTACTCATCTCTAATGATCTAAGTGCTAGAGCCCACTGTAACTACATAGCCAAAAAGGCATTAAGAATTGTTAACCTAATCCTACGTAGCTTTTTCTCTGGTAATATCACATTACTAACAAGAGCATACAAAACATTTGCTAGACCAATACTTGAATACAGCTCATCAGTCTGGAACCCGCATTACGTATCTGATATTAATACAGTGGAGAAAGTCCAGAAATATTTCACAAGAAGAGTTCTCCACTCCTCTACTCGTTGCAGAATACCTTATGCCACCAGACTTGAAATTCTACATCTAGACAACCTAGAACTATGACGCCTTTGCTCTGATCTAAGTATAGTACATAAAATTATACATTGCAACATCCTACCTGTCAATAAATACTTCAGCTTCAACCATAACAATACAAGAGCACACAATAGATGCAAAGTCAAGGTAAACTGCACCAAACTTGATTGCAGGAAATACGACTTCAGCAACAGAGTAGTCAATGTCTGGAATACTCTACCTGACTAGTTCCTTCCCCAACCCCCCAAAACTTTAACCTTAGACAGCCTACTATTGACCTCACCCCTTTCCTAAGAGGTCTGTAGGGGGTGTGCATAAGTGTACCAACGTGCCTACCGTCCCTGTCCTATTGTTTCTTTTTTATTCATATCCATTTCATGTATTCATAACCATGCTTATACTTATACCTGTTATCTTATAATCGCTTGACAAAATAAATAAATAAATAAATAAATTGTGGAATAGCCTCTCCATGGAGGTCAAGCTGGCTTCCCCTATGCTGAGGAAAGTTTCTAAAAAGCAAGCCTTTTCTGAGATCCAATCCATGATTTGAGTTGTGGTTGCTATATTCTATTTTCTTTTCATTTACGTAATTTCACTGTGTTTTTATTTTTCTGTGAGGTGATTTTTCATAGTATTTTTATGTGAGCCTCCAAGAATAATTTTTGATTGCCGTGTCATGGAAATATAATACAAATATTCCTTGTACTATAAAAATCCTTGTGCAGTTTTCTGTGTCCGACATGACATTCTGTACAATGTTTCCAATAAGATAGATTGGTGTTTTCCTTATAGCATATTTGGTGATATGACTGATACTAATTTTTTTACACAAAATTGGGTGGTTATTGCAAGTTTTCCAGGGGGATAGCTTTTATTATGTCTGAGTATAGCTTAATTTTGTGTATGTATACAGAAACTAAAGTACCTTTCCATATCAGCATATTAGTTAATTAGGCAACCCCTTTTTAAAAGTGAAATTTGATAGCTCTATTGTTCATCCTTGTGTACCTTGGTAGAATGTTTAGTAAAGAGATAATGGATGAAGCCATCTTAATATGTGCAAATGTTGGTGAAAAGAAGGAAAAGCAGAATATATGATGTGCTAATCAAAATAGCTATGTCTAAAAGAATGTGCTATAAATGTACATTATAGTAAATACTTCACTATGAAGAAGTAATAGGTATGTCAAGAGAGGCATAAAACTAAATGAAGTAGAAAAGAGCTTTGTGTGTGGTAAAACAAAAATAGATAGGGGTCAAGAATTCAAAATCAATATAAAGACCATTTTTGATGGTTAATATTGAGCTGTTTGCATACAATGGATCGCAGCAGATTTTTCACTTGGTTGAATCCTGCTGCTAAGCTGCTGAGTATTGCAGAGAATGTCCCCTGGTGTTCAAGGAGCTCAGCCTCTTTCTTATTTTATTTATTTATTTATTTGATTTGCCAATTGTTTACAAGATAATAAGTATAAATGTATACATAGTTGTGAATACATGAAATGGGTACATATAAGAAAAATAAAAGAATAAGAGAAACAATAGGACAGGGACGGTAGGCACGTTGGTGCGCTTATGCACGCCCCCTACAGACCTCTTAGGAAAGGGGTGAGGTCAATAGTAGACAGTCTAAGGTTAAAGTTTTTGGGGTTTGGGGAAGAAACTACAGAGTCGGGTAGAGTATTCCAGACATTGACCACTCTATTGCTGAAGTCGTATTTCCTGCAATCAAGTTTGGTGCGGTTTACTTTGAGTTTGTATCTATTGTGTGCTCTTGTGTTGTTATGGTTGAAGCTGAAGTATTCATTGACAGGTAGGACATTGCAATGTATGATTTTATATACCATGCTTAAGTCAGATAAGGGGGCTCCAGGTAGGAAGACAGCTTAATGAAAATGTCAGTGCGGTATAAGGATGCTTGAAGAAAGGCAAATGCTATATTGAGAATCACTAGGATTTTCTAGAAATGAAAAATAAAACCCCGATATTGTATATCTTTGTAAATTGAACTTATTTGATTACCCTACTTCTGTCCTCACAATTACCTCAAGAAGAACACCATATATTAAAAAAATTGTATCAATTACATGTATATATGGGACCTAAGAAAGTGCAGAAAACAGTAACCATAATGACCAAAGTCTGCAGTACCTTAAATGCAAAAATATTAAAATATTTGAAGCTTTTTAGCTTAGAAAAAAAGCAAGTAAGGAGCATTATGTAGGTGCTTAAAATGATGCATGTTTGAGGGGAAGTATTCCCTGAATACTACAGGTAGCCATCGATTTACAACAGTTCATTTAGTGTTACAACAGCACTGAAAACAGTGACTTATGACTTTCACATTTATGACTGTTACAGCATCCCCATGGTCACATGGTCAAAATTCACATGCTTGGTAACTGGTTCATATTTATGACAGTTGCAGTGTCCTGGAGTCATGTGATCTCCTTTTGTGACTTGACAAACAAATTCAATGGGGAATCCAGATTAATTTAACCATAACAAATGCAATGATTCACTTAACAAATATTGGCAATAAAAGTTGTAAAATGGGACAAACTCACTTAACAAATGTTTTACTTAACAATATAAATTTTGGACTCAATTGTGGTCATAACTTGAGGATTACCTGTATAACCTGAATTCATCCAGTGAACTTGAATGAAGATTAGGACAGATAAGAGAAATGTTTTACTTCTATGTGTAGAATTCATTCGTATAAAATAGATACTGCTAGCCGCCCTATTAGAGAGTTTTAAAAAATATTAGACAAATTCATAGGATGAGAATATGATTAATGGTTAGAATATGTTCAACATACCTCAAATGAATTAACCAAAGAAAAGGAAAAAAAATACATTCTAGTTGCAAAACTTTTCTAAAAAAAATTGACCAACTTAATCAAAAATACTATTTCTTGCTTGAACTTCCCTCAAGACATTTTGAAGAATTGCACATATCAGGTATCTATTTCTAGAAGTTAGGAGTGGATTCATCTTCCACTGTTATATAATAATTCTTTTGACCTTCTGCCATGTATAAAAAAATCTTAAAATTCTTAGAATTAAAGATTCAGTTACTTAGTTTAACACACTAGGCTGTTAACACGCTATTCCATGTAAAAACTCACAAAACAGATTGTAAAAGTATAATAAAAATATAAACTATATTTGAAACATTACTATATTTGTTACATAGCTCATATCCCTTTGAGGCAATCCAGTCAAGAAAACAAAAACATGAGTACTGACACTATCTTTATTGTAAGGTTATAGTAACAGAGTCTTGCGAATCTGAAAGCATTTCTCCCCTTCCTCTCCTTTAGTTTCCAGAGAATTAGAGAGGGTTCCTTTCTCCACTCTCATTCCTTCTGTGGGCTGAGATATCTCTTCTCTGAACATTGCTTAGGCTGCAGTTCTTCTTCCTCCTGTCTCCCAAGGCTATTCTCACAGACCAATTACAGGAGTGTGCACTGCAATCAACACATCAAAGAACTGACACTAATCTGATTGTCACACTGGGGGATGAAAATGAAGGCCACAGATGTTGAACATAACTAGGACAGGCTTGTTCCTCCTAGTCATGATAAGCTATGTCTTGCCATGATCTGAGGCAGTATGCCTCTTAATTCCAGAAACTGCAGAACATGACCAATAATTGTTACTATGATCATATTTTAATTGTGGGCTTCCCTTCAGTAATTGGCTGGCCACTCTGAGAAAAGACTTCTGCCCTAGCTGGGCTTTTTGTCTTATCTAGAATAACTCTTTGTGTGTTCTTTTGAATACCTTAGAAACAGTAGCATGTCGCAGAAAAATATTTACTTGCAAATTGAATTTATAATAATCTGTTGTGATTTGCACAGAATAATAGTTTGATGTTAGAATTATCAGTTGGTGAATATGTACATATTTTTAAAAATATTGAAGATTGCTTGTTGTGTAAATAACATTTGTTTTTCTATATAGGCATACTGCAGTGTGATCCTGTATCAGTTCGAGACCAGAATCAGATATTTAGACTATTCTGTCATGAGTGTCAGAGAATTTTTCATGACCGTCTCATCTGCAATGAAGATAAACAATATTTTTATTCTATGTTAAGCGACATGGCCAGTAAGAATCCTTACTTAATGTGTTTGTATATGTCTGATTGTTTTTTTATTCATAAACATTCTGTACTTACAAATCAGCAAACCTATTATTTTAATTTTTAGGCAAATATTTTGGAGTTTCAACTGACCCAGACTCATTTGCATCCAAACCTATCTTATTTGGAGATTACATTAAGGTGAGTATATATAGAATCATAACTTTATGATTACCTTTATATATTTTATAAAAAATGTCCGTCTATATCAGTCTTTCTATGGCCGAAGTTGATTTACTCTTATGAAAAGTATATGAATTTCAGCATCCAGTATTACAATAACAATCTTATAATCAGACATTTGCTGCTGGAATTCAACAAAACCATGAAAGTGTTTTTAGATCAATAATAGAGAGGCTTGAACAGTAAATATAGTATCTTATTTTAAAATCAATTTATTTTCCTGATCTGAAAAAATATTCAATTTCCCCAAAAAAATCCAAATGCAGGCCTTGAAGGGAATATAATGAAATGAATATAAATGCAGTAAATATTAAAGAAAATCATATGTACGAAGATATTGTTTCAAATACTGTATACAAGGTCCATCCCACCCCTGAAAGGACATAATGGTAAAGACTGCAACGATGACACCATTAAAGCCAACCTCTTTAACACATTCTTTAGCTCAGTATTTGTAAACAGCAATGGATCATGCGCAGTATTTCCTAGTCGAACCACAGACAACTACAATGATCTAATACATATCGATTTTACAGAAAACAATGTTGAAAAAGCACTACGCAATCTAAAACCATCTCTATCTATTGGACCAGATGGAATATGTGCCTACTTCTTAAAAAAGCTATCCACTGCCATAGCCGAACCTCTAAGCATAATCTTTGAAAAATCTTTCAGGGCCAGCTCCTCGCCAAAATTATGGTCACAAGCCACGGTCATCCCCATCTTCAAAAAGGGAGACCCCAGCCTAGTTGAAAATTACATACCAATCTCTTTATGCTGTGTCACCTGTAAAGTCATGGAATCAATTATTAACCAATCCATTATCCTCCACTTAGAGACAAACAACCTACTCTCTAATAAACAATTTGGTTTCAGAAAAAAACTATCCTGCAATCTGCAACTCTTACACTGCAAAAACATATGGACTACGCAACTCGATCAGAGCAAAGCAATAGACGCAATCTACCTAGACTTCTGTAAAGACTTTGATTCAGTAGTACACGACAAACTACTCCTACAACTAAAATCTTATGGTATCTCTGGACACCTGCATAACTGGATAGAAGCATTCCTGTCAAACAGGCAACAAATGGTCAAAATTGGAACATCCTATCAAATTCTGTACCTGTCAACAGTGGTGTCCCCCAAGGCAGTGTTCTAGGACCAACTCTCTTCATACTCTACATAAATGACCTCTGTGATCATATTAAGAGCAACTGTGTCCTCTTCACTGACGATGTAAAGCCATTCAACACCACAGACAATACTGCTACCCTTCAAAAAGACCTCGACTATGTATCAGAATGGTCAAACAAATGGCAACTTCGAATATCAACAAATAAATGCTCTGTCTTACATATTGGCAAAAAAAAACAACCCAGAAAATAAAATACAGGCTGAATAGTCAAGACCTTGTTGATGATCCAAGCTCTGTAAAGGACCTTGGAATACTCATCTCTAATGATCTAAGTGCTAGAGCTCACTGTAACTACATAGCCAAAAAGGCATTAAGAGTTGTTAACCTAAACTTACGTAGCTTTTTCTCTGGTAATATTACACTACTAACTAGAGCATACAAAGCATTTGCTAGACCAATACTCGAATACAGCTCATCAGTCTGGAACCCACATTATGTATCTGATATTAACACAGTTGAGAAAGTCCAGAAATATTTCACAAGAACAGTTCTCCACTCCTCTACTGGTTGCAGAATACCTTATGCCACCAGACTTGAAATTCTAGACCTAGAAGACCTAGAACTATGCCGCTTTCGGTCTGATCTAAGTATAGTATATAAAATCATATATTGCAATGTCCTACCTGTCAATGAATACTGCAGCTTCAACCAAAACAATACAAAAGCATACAATAGATACAAGCTAAAGATAATCCGCACCAAACTTGATTGCAGGAAATACGACTTCAGCAACAGAGTGATCAGTGTCTGGAATACTCTACCTGACTCTGTGGTTTCTTCTCCAAACCCCAAAAACTTTAACCTTAAATTTTCTACTATTGACCTCACCCCTTTCCTAAGAGGTCTGTAGGGGGCGTGCATAAGCTCACCAGTGTGCCTACCGTTCCTGTCCTATTGTTTCTTTTATTTTTCTTATATGTATCCATGTATTCGTAACTATGTTTTTACTTATACCTATTATCTGGTAAGCAATTGACAAACCAAATAAATAAATAAATAAATAAATAAATAAATAAATAAATAAATAAAAATAGACCCCAAAGAGAGAAAAGGCAAGAATGAAGTTTAAAACCACTCTCTGCCAACATCTCTGTTAGTTTGTACACATCCGTTATTTTTTTATATGAAAAATCTACATAATTATTAAGTATTAGAACGGAATGATGCCTAGGCTAAATAACATTCACGGAATTCCTTCCCCCCCAAATGATGGTGTCTCTTTTATTGAGATGGAATGTTTTCCGAATTGAAGTGTCTATTAGATTTTGTGGAAGTGTCACATTTAGGAATAAATTTTGAGCTGCTTTCAGAACTGACAGATCAAATCAGTAAACAGCTGATCAGCAGATGGCCATGGCACAAACATATGGAGTGAACATGTTGATGGTTTTCTTGCTCCTTTGCTTTGGAATAATTCCTAGAGTAATCTCTGAGGTACTGAGACTCGTTTCACTAAATCTATTAATTAAATATTTACCTATATAACTGTGATGTGATTCATTAAATTGAATTTACCTTCAGTTTTAGAAGGAAATGTCTTCAATATGCACAGATATTAATTATAATAAAGATACAAAATTGTTTTAAGTGATAGTCCTTGTTCTGTCATTTCTTTTTGAAGAACAAATCTTTGGACGCTGAGAAGGTTTGTGGACCTCCTGGACTTCAAATCAAAACATAGATCTGGTGTCAGCAAAAAAACATGCACTAGGTTTTTTTATAAATTTTCCAAAAGACTAAATTCTAGACTTCAAATGATTTGTTAGATGTACAGCCAAGGAAAGGGAGACTTCCCTGCTCCAGGCATCTTCTGGAAGCTTATTTATATACAGTATGTCAAATAGAGAGTCTCACTGCAAATTTGGAAGATTCATTTATAACAGTTGACAGCATCAATAGGTCATGGACTTAGATTATGATTTCTGCTTGGATGACAAGGGGATTAAAAAAGCATACTTTCATGATGTCAGTTTTTTTCCACCAAGAAACCAAATATGTATATTTTCTTGGAGGTTATCTTCATAAATGAATAAGAATATGAAGTTATATTTGTAAAAGGAAGTCTTGGAGTGTGACAGATATGTGTACTGCAAATATAACATTTTCCACCGCTGAGCTCATCAAGTTGGAAAGGAAAAACAAGAAAACAAACAGAGGTTAAAGTTAAGCCCTTGGGAAATGGTTTAGATAGATCATTTAGATTTAGATAGTTGAAAATTGAAAGCATCTGAAAATGATGTATTCTGTTCATTGCTGAGCAGTGGAACAATAATCACCTTGATGAGTCCTCATTTCTCCCCTATCAATCGGCCAGGGAGTATCTTATGACATATTCCAAATTGCTTGAAAGGATGGTATAGTTGAAAACTAGGATATGCATTCATTAATAAATAAAATGCTATGAAGTTTAAGAACATAAAAAAGAAGATGGTTC